GCGCGCGCGTGTGTGAATGTGTGTGTGTGTGTGTGTGTGTGTGTGTGTGTGTGCGTCTGTATGTCTGTGCGTGTGTATGTGCGTGAGTGCGTGCGTACACTAACGCATCCATTTTTCGCGCGTGCGCACAGATCACGGGCGTGCTGGGCCTGCTGTCGTGCGAGGTGTCCATCCTCGTGCTCACCTTCATGTCCGTCGACCGCTTCGTCTGCATCGTCTGTCCGTTCGGCCCGCACATCGTCTCCATGAAGCACGCCGTTGCCAGCATGGTCGTCATCTGGTGCGTCGGCCTGCTGCTCGCGCTCCTCCCGCTTGCCTCCGTGCAACTCTACGGAAACTTCTACGGCAGCAACGGCATCTGCCTGCCGCTGCACATCCACGATCCGTACATGGTCGGCTGGCAGTACTCGGCGTTCGTCTTTCTCGGCGTCAACTTCGTCGCCTTCGCCGTCATCTGCGTCGCCTACGTCGGCATGTTCGTGAGCATCGTGCGCACGCGCAAGGCGACGACCGTCAATCTCGACATGGACATGTCGTTTGCGAAGCGCTTCTTCTTTATCGTGCTCACGGACGCCCTCTGCTGGATACCGATAATCATCACCAAGCTGCTGGCGTTCAGCATCGACATCCCGAGTGAGTGCAGGGAAGGGGAGGGGAAGAGGAGGGAAGGGGAGGAGGAGGAGGAGGAGGAGGAGGAGGAGAAGGAACAGACGGAGGGGAGGGACAGGAGGAGGAACAGACGGAGGGGAGGGACAGGAGGAGGAACAGAAAGAGGGGAAGAGGAGAATATAAGGGTGAGAGGAGGGGGAGAAAGAGGGGAGGAGGAGAGGAGGGAAGACGTGGGGTAAGTGTAATAGAGTGGGAGGGTTAGGGTAGGAGGTGGTAGGGGGATGGGGAGATGGTGGTGATGTCTGGCCGCTGACTATTATTGCAGTATAATAATTATAAACAGTTATATGCACGTACATCATAATAATAATATTAATAACAATAATAACATAAATATAATGAATAACTATACTAATAGCTAATATAACTAATAACAATATTTGTTAACAGTTGATATGTATATATATATAAAAAAAATTATATGAAATAATAATTAAAAATAAAGTTCCCTCAACGTACATGTAATGTCCTGAATATTTTTAGAACCAGAGACCAGTCCAGAGTCAAGGCCTCGTTCCAGGCACGCAGTAGATGTATATTGTGACAAACTCATCAAGCCTAAAAATAAATAACGCTACGCTCGTCTGTGGATGGACAGCGTCGGATGCAAGGTAGCTTCCCCCGTCACACGACGTCACCACCCCTTTACATGTCCGAATAGCTAGTACATATAGCTGCTCCTGTATTACGAATAGCTAAACTTTTACTCCTCATAGCTAAGGCTAATCTATGCTAATCTAACGTCGGATGCAAGGTAGCTTCCCCCGTCACACGACGTCATCATTCCCGTACATGTCAGAATATCTAGTGCACATAGCTGCTCCTGTATTATATATAGCTAACCATTTACTGCATATACTTACCATTTATTCCACATAGTTATCTATCTACTCTACAGATGTAACCTTCTACACGACATAACTAACAATTTACTCTTCAAAACTAATTCTTTTATCCCACATAACTAACTCTCTTTATTCCTCATAGCCAATTCTGTATTCCACATAGCTGACCCTGTATTCCACATAGCTGACTCTTCACTCCACATAGCTAACCCTTTATTCCACACAGCTAACCCTGTATTCCATATAGCTAACCATTTATTCCACATAGTTAACCCTTCACTCCACATAGCTAACCCTTTATTCCACATAGTTAACCCTTCACTCCACATAGCTAACCCTTTATTCCACATAGTTAACCCTTCACTCCACATAGCTAACCCTTTATTCCACATGGCTAACCCTTTACTTCGCATGCCTACTTATTTTATTAGCGGCATGTCGACATTTTCCCACAAAACTAGCTGCTACAATTTGTCTCCAGTTTACCAATCTTAAATCGGAGCAAACACACGAAAATTACACGAAATCGCTGCGTTTTCTCGATTTCTGCACTTATTCCATCCAAGCATAAAATGCTAATTGCCGAAAGCAATAGAATGTGGGAAGATTGAAGGGGACTTTATCTGAGTAAAAACTCAACAAAGATATCGCATATACGCGATAATTGGGTCTGTTTAGCGTGCCTGTGCAGATTTTTCATTATGTGCTGCGATTTAAAACCAGCAAGAAGCAAAAAGTTAGAAGCTTATACATAAAAGCAGCGTCTAGACACTTCACTCTTTCTATACACCATGGATACTGCTTTAATCGAGCGCTCGTGCGTTTCATGATAATGCCAACAGTTTCTATCCGTTATATATGAGTTATTCTGAGATCATATTGTGCGATCACGAGCTCTGATATTTTTATTAGACTTTAACCGTACGTGCACGCTTGCGTGGACGCCTGTGTTCGAGTATATGTATGTAGGCCGACGTGTATTCGTA